CACCATGCCTGGTAAATAGCCACATCTTTCAAAGTCACATGCACAGTTCGTAACATACACACACACACACAAACACACACACAGGCTTTCTGTTTCGTCTTCAAGCTCAATCTGAGGTTGTTTTTTCAGATGTTAAAAAGCTCCCTCCTTGTCACTGGCTGAGTAGTATTCCTTGTTTCTTCATGACAAGTTAGCTGATGTGCCCCTTGAAGTCCATCTCTATGTCTGCTCTCCATCTATTTCATCCATCTATTTTAAACCTAAAACATGCAGTAACTTTCTGTATTTGCCCCCGGAGGATAACACAATTCCTTTGCCCTTCTGCGTCCACTCTCAAAGCTTTCATCATATAAACGTGGTTTCAGTAAGGGGTTGTTTCAGGACGTGGTAGAGATATATTATTTTACCCCCTATTGTACTTGTCTCTGAGGTCATCTGCTGGTTAGTCTCTCAGAAGGGAGCGGGTCACTCCAGTTAACAGTCCAGGCTGAATCAAATACAGGCTGCTCCTTCTATTGCTGCATCACGAGAAATGATTTATGACCCCTGAGTGCTCGGGATTGAAGTGTCCCCATGTTTAGGCCGCTTCATACATTCTGTATTACGCAGAATGTATTCATCTAAGTTTGTTTTGTGTATGACTATTTTGAGTTTGTGGCAGAAATACAGAGATATTTTATAAGCTTTGATTTTATTTCACCTACACAGATTATTGATTGCACCTCCTCTCTCTTTTCCAGAAGCGTTTGGGTTTGCTTATGTCTTAGGACCTTTTTTTCTAACTCTGCATAACAAAGCTCAAACATTTAAAAAAAAAAAAAAAACAACTCATGTGGGTGTTTTGTGTCTCTTTTTGTTGTAGTGCTGGCCAGTTTCCGAGGGACTGTCCAGCATGGCCTCCCCCTGGAAATTGGAGACACGGTGCAGATCCTGGAGAAATGTGAAGGTACGGTGCACATGGTATACACTCAGTACTGTTTGGTTTCATACACACCTACTATGAAACATATAAGGAAAGCAGTTGGTTTCACTTGAGTGGTGAAGCGAATGCATGCATCTACACGTACAAAATAGTAGGAACACTTCCTCATTTCATTCAATGTACAGATCAAGTGAATCCACGTGAAAGCTCTTATACTTCATACTGAATTTACCTTATTAAATCTATCAGTAATTGGCAGAGGCATGCACGCACTGTGCCTTACGAGCACGCTTGCACTGATCCACAGATTTGTGCATGCAACCACAAACGGGCCCAAAGGAACGTGGACGCTTAGATGTGTGTTCGTCGATCCAGTAGAGAAACTTCATCTGGTGGATATCACGCTTCTCAAATGTCTTCTTGAGGGATATCACAGAGCAGTGTGTGCACCAAATGAGCAACATCATGCCTGTGATGAATGGCTGTGGAAATTCATGTTCGCTACTGTTTCCTGCCCCACAGACTGGCTGCTTTTCCCGCCTTCCTGCCCACGCTGTGTCTGTTTTTCTCCTCTGCTTGCTTTTTTCTTACACTCTTTTGCTGTTTTTCTCTCCCTATCTATGTTAATATGTTTTTTTGTACCCTGCATTCTCTTTCCCTCTCTCGCTTTCCTTAGGTATTTTTTAATTTTCAGAATAATGTGAAATTATCTAACCACAACAAAGCCACAATCTGATGCACACAAATAAGCAGCCGTGCACAAACGCATACATACCTCTCTCTTCCGGAGTTCTTGACACACACTGTCTCACTTCCTGTCGGGAGACAGAAGCACACACTCGCAACCAACCAGTCGAGCAGCCAGTCGTGCAGCCAGCCAGTCAGAGGGATGTGATATTGCGGTAAAAGGCCCAGAGGAAGTAGACAATAGCACAGCCAGCGGAATGCTGGGTCCAGAAGGGAGGAACAAAATCAAAATCCTGCCAGCAGCAAGGAGGCTGAGAGACGGCTTGCTGACAGCAGAGCAGACAGACTAATGGGTCTGCCTCATGTTGATACTGTTGACACTTTAGAACACAAGAGCTTACTGTGTGTAAGTGTCTTTACTGACATGTGGCTCCTGTCTGTAAAGGCACCGCCTCAGTAATTGATATCTGACTTGGCACGTCAGTGGCTCATTCTTGAGATTTTGTTCCTGACAGCAGTGAATACATTAGACTGACTACACAGTATTTAGTGAAACTGTGATGTTCATTTCAAACATTCACATATTTCACATATGGTGATATTGATAGAGTATGTTCTTTGTACAAATGTGTCACAATTTAGGTAATTTCGAGTCGAGAGCTCTTACATAATGGGCAGAAACCGGATGTTTTAACTGTTTATATTTATAGCTAAACATTTCAAATGTTTATCGACTACTTTTAGCTAACCATTTCCACTGTTCATAAATTACTCATGGCTAACTATTTCAACCATTTGTCCATTACTTTAGCTAACTATTTTAACTACTTTGCTCGCCTGTTAACTAGGTTTTCCTCATTTTCAATCTCCACAAACAGTGTACAGATTGGTGGGAGATGTGTGTCAGTAGAGTCTAACCTCGATATTGTGACAATAATTTCATCAAAACACAAAATTAATCTTTATGTACCCCCTAGCAAATGCATTATTGCCATATTTCAGGTACATACGTAACACTGGTTGAAAATCACTGATTGAAAACATTGATCACATCCTACTGAACTCTTACAGATGTCTTGCTATCTTTGACTGACATATAACATTGCAGAAATCTGTCACAGTACCTGACCTCTGCTACTGAAAAAAATGACTCATTTGGGAAATACTGAGCATGTGTTCCACAGTGCAGACTGAGACAAATTACTCAATGCTCTTCTGACTATGCATGCCTGCAACAAATCAGGGACGAAATACTACCTAAGTCACAGATGCTCTGGCGAAACCCAACAGTGATTAGAGTAATCTAATACATTTACATTTGAGCTATTTAGCTAATGCTCTTATCTGGAGGGACTTTACAAGCTTAAATCGTTAGTTTGGAAAAGAGCATCAGCTCAAAGCCTCCGATGTAAATGTATTAGATTGTTTCTATCAGTGTTGGGATTTGCAAAAGCGTCGAGCACATACTAATTTGGATTGAGCTCAGATTGTAGTGTGTAATTGCGCGAGGAGAGTGTGAGTGTGTGCAAACCGCAACTTAGCCATCTCTATCTCTGTCGCTGCTGTTTTTCAACACCTGCTAGGAAGTCATAATGAGGTTTAGAGAGTTTAGCATGGGCATTGTATGTCACAGGTTTCATTCTGCTGTGCGTTAGCCTGTGGTCAAAACCAATTGGTTAAAAAAGCTATATGCTTTGTACCACAATATTCTGCAGAGCTGCTATGAGGTATAAGAATATCTAAAAAGGTGTTGACATTTTATTGGCAGTGGAAAGTTATTCAGCTGGTGTGTCAGTGAGATACCCGGTCAAAAAAAAATCTATTTCTGGGTCATTCGCCTCTTCACATGATACTGAAGTAGATTAAAAATATATGTCTGGTGGGCTTATTATGACATTAATTTACATACAGCTGTCAAAAGGATTGGATCATTTTCAATAAATCTCTCTCTTTCTATATTCTTCTCTTATTAAATGTATAGCGTTTCATATTTTTCCACCTCCTCTCCTTGCATGCTCTGCAGTCTAAGCCAGATATAGTGTTATATTCACAGTGACATGCTGGAAATTAAAATGGTGCTTTGTCCCTTCAGGCTGGTACCGAGGGTTTATCCTGAAGAATCCAAATGTCAAGGTGAGTGAACTTTGTGTGCGTGTGTGCGTGTGTTTTGCTTGTTGTCGGGTTGCTTATTACTCATTTGTACCCTCATTCAACCCTGAAGTTTTTTGTCTTTTTTTATGCTGTCGACTGGCAGAGCAAGGATGTCAAATTTAAAAGTGTCCCCTGGGCTTATCATTGTTAGCAGCAACTAGCAATTTCACCGGCTGAGATGACAACTGTCAGTGGCAGATTTCATCAACTGTACTTTTCAGAATATTTCATACTGTCAGCTGGTCAAACTAAACACTTTACTCTTGGTGGTGAAAGTGCTCATCATTTTGGTAACATAAGCTGCATGTGGCTTCATCAAGTATACACACTTATGGTCCATCCACACAAGTGTTTTACATTATTTTGCCGGATTAGAGCTCTTCTCGGGACTGTGTGGATCGGCTCTCACTCTCCTTTTTCGTTGTGTTGAACAGTTTTTCATGACAGATATCGTGACATGTCATAGCAGTAAAGGGAATAATGGGAATCTATTCAGGTTCATTAGCTCCTGGACGCTGTTATTGTGCTTGACGGATAAATAAAATGGAACCATCGTTATGAGTTACGCTTGTGTTTTTCCATCTGTGACAATTCAGTATGTCTGCGATTTAAAAAAAAAAGGTCTATCAGTAGGCCTCTGTGGAGTTAAGTGCCATTGCATCATATCCTACAGAGCTCTGTCAACTCAATATAATATAATTGGACACCCGACTCACATAAGCGGCGTGTTTGATAACAGGCATTTTTTTGCTGCAGAAATGTTAACACAGCAGGAAAAGCACATGTGTAAATTATACAATTAATAATGGCTGAATTTCATTTAGCTGCTTCAGTTTCAGAGTCCTTATATTGTGCTTACTGTCATGGCTCGCTGGGACACTATATATAAAAGTATAATAATATCTGTTAGAACAGCCAACGGTAATGATATTAGTAACACTTGTGGTTTTCCTACTAAAAACATTTCCCGGCCAATAGCCTAAACCTACAGCTTGTGTAGTTGTTATTAAGGATAGTTATTTATTTTATTTGCTGAATGACAGGTCAGTTTTTTTTATACAGCGCAAAACCAAAAATCAGCCTCAAAGGGCTTGAGAACATATGTCCCTGTCCATCCTCGGATAGAAGTTAAACTCCACAGACACGCAACAGATGTTGTGTGCGCAGAGTTAGATGGAAATAACAATGATTAAATGTGCGGAGAAACAGAATGACATTTCTCAAAGTTAATAAAGTAGAAACATAGATGAAGAATATGGATCAGAGGAAACTTTTAGCAACTTCCAGGTGCTGCCGTACACTAGTAGGAGCTAGACCACAGCACCGCCTAGTTAAAGTTGGATCAAATAAATGATATATACTGTTAAATAATAGTTTTTTGATGGTCTGGTCTCATATAATTCTATAATAGGATAGCAGAAGTTTATGCGCACATTCTGATTGTTCCAGTCGAACTTCTTGTGTTACAAAATGTAGAAGAAGAAAAGTGCAAAAGGTGAAGTTTGTGACAGCAATTGAAATCCAACACCATTTGACACCAAGTCTTTATCTGATTCCAGTTTGAAAATAAAAACCCTATTCTAGTTTAAGACTAACTAATTAAAAACAAACTATCTTTTTTTTTTATCATTAATTAGGCATGTCCCATGCACAAAATACTTTATAGCTGTTAAAGTGGCTGAATGTCAATAACAATGTGGCTTTTAAAAAAAAATAAAAATCAGATAATATAAACCATGTTGGGAGTAAAGCGGTAGGTGTGTGTTCAGAGTCTCTGAGTGTGTGGCATTTATCCTCAGATACTTAAACATAAGTTCTGCTTTGATCTCCTGGAGTCAATAGGGAGCAACTTGCAGTTTATTAGCGTCAAACAGACACACACACACACAACAACAACAACACACTTTTCATCTTTTTTTTGTCTCCTAAATCCCATTGCTCATTGCTTTTATCTCTTTGTCTGTTTGTCTCCTCTCTCTGCTCTCCTTCTTTTCAACCCACAAACACACATAGTACTGTATTGATTAAGTGCATCTGTTGCCACACGCTAACAGTTAAATGCTAATGGCACTGAAAGTGAATGACTTGCTGAGCATCAGAAGGGTCAACTCATTAATCTGTTTATCTTCTGCCTGAAGGGGATCTTCCCATCCAGCTACATCCACTTGAAGAATGCCCACGTCAAGAATAAAGGGTAAGTAATGCTGTGTTCTTGCAATTTTCCTGTGTGTGTGTGTGTGAATGCCGTAGTAGAAGTTTGAACTCTTATTTTGCATTTGCATGTATGTTTGTAGGCAATTTGAGACAGTCATCCCTGTCGAAGACTCCGTCATCACAGAGATGACATCGACGCTGCGAGACTGGGGTGCCATGTGGAAACAACTCTATGTGGTAAGAATCCTCACACCCACACACACACACAGTTTGCATCGATTGAAATATCACTACCGCCTAAGCAAAGCTGCCTTTTTTTTTAAAAGGTTTCTCATGAAGGGAATCTGTTTGGGCCTGGGTAATTCAAAAGCCGCAAACAGTCAAAGATTTTTCATACACATTCATTAGCTGGATTGATTGTGTTTGTGGCCTATTAAGCTATCTGGGGTGCTGATTAAATTGAGCTGATGAATACTCGCAGATCAAAGTGCATAAATTCGCGGCAAAGAGCAGCAGGACACTGAAGCTAATTTGCACAAATCCATTTCAAGTCCCTCTCTCTGGTTCGCCCTCTTCCCCTCAATGTCGATTTTGCTCTCTAATGTCTTTTCTGTTACTTCTTTCTCACTTTTGGGTGGCCCGATGCAACTGTATATTTTCATCCTCTTATCTGTGCCTTCCCCTCTATCTGTCACCCTCATTCTGTCTTTCCTTATTGTCAATTTCCCTTTCTTTCGTCGCCTTTGACTGGCTCTCCTTGGTTCTCGACTCACTTTTTCCCCTTCTCTGTCCCTCCCCACCGTTTCCTGCTTCCACAGAAGAATGAGGGGGATTTGTTCCACCGACTTTGGCACGTGATGAATGAAATCCTGGACCTGAGGAGGCAGGTGCTGGTGGGCCACCTCACCCATGACCGCATGAGGGACGTCAAGCAGCACATCACAGCGAGATTGGACTGGGGCAACGAGTGAGTAGAACAAGGGCAGAGAAGAGGAGAGCCTCGCTTTTCAAATGTCTAAAAATTACTTCAGGGGCTTTTTTTTATTTTTATTGTTCCATCTCAAAGGACCATATCTATGTTTTTATGTTTGTTTCTCTATGTTTTAGGTCATTAATCATTCATCAGTTAAACTTTGCTACTAGTTTTAAGATTGATTTTCTGCCCTTTGCTCAGCCATGGGATTCTTTTCACTCTGCAGCATTGTATTAAAATCTAATATCAGTGACTAGAGGCTTGCTTGAGAGCAGCAATCCATCACAAACATTCAGTCGGCTTTATGTTTTGTAAAAGTTATGCTTTTATTGCACGGTAATGCAGTTGTGAACCAGAACCATTTCAAGTTTAGCTTTTTAGTGCATTCAATAAAGAAAAATCATGGATTTGAAAGTTAGTTGCTGAACTATACTTTTAAATGCAAAGCACTACCAAATTCATATCATCCTTTTTACATCATTTATAGTGGCTTTTTGTTTGTCTTCTATCAGCTCATATCAACAGCAGGAACTTTTAAGGAACCATTTCAGCAACTTGGGAAACTTAACCTTTGTTCAGATTAGAGAAACCAGGAACTTAAACTTTATTTTTAATGCCATAGTTCCGAAACCAAAAAAGACCCTGTCTTACCTTCTGATGACCCAGGAACTACTGAGGCAGAGTGAGTGGATATGGCTGCTAAAATATCAATTTTATAAATAAAGCTGTACTGAGTACAGGTGGAGAAACAAAAATCTATTTGCCATTTGTTGCATTGCAGTTATGTACATACTAAAGCAGCTCTCTCAACATGAGTCAACACATATTATAAAGAACAACCTGACTCTGTCTGGTTACTTTATTCTGTTTGAAAATTGGGTGCCAAACAGCCAATCTAATTCACCTAATTTTCACCTATCTTGGACCAAACCAAAAAACATTACGTAAAAAGAAACTTTTAGTTCCTGGGTGTAGTTCCTTTTCTCTCTGGGTACTAGATTGGAATATCTACAGATTTTGAGTACCAATCTAATATCACTGTTCTCTTTTCCCTAAATTTGAAATCACTTCTCTCACTGTGAAACCCACTGTGACTGAATGAATGTAGCTAATGGCAGAAACACTGAAAGTTATTATTGACACTGACACTGAAAAATCTGTATCTAATATGGGGCTGTACCAGACTCAGTTGAATTGGAGTTGACTGTTCAATACAAAAGACGACTGTTTGTTCCTCTTCTTTTTTCAATTTTTAAGTTTAGAGCAACAATAAAGTCCCACATCAGCAGTTCCGGCTGTGGAAACATGACTACGTGAGTCATGTTTTATCCTACCTCACATGCCACTGTCTGGTTCAAAAGTGGTTTAGCTGAGTGTGGTAATTTGTGGTAATGCTGATACTTTTTTTTGTAAAGTTTACAGCCTGCCATGCTGTTGCTCTGTGTAAAATGACACGGCTAAAAAGCAAAAGTGCAGAGATTCAGCTGACGAAATGCGAGTCGAGTCTCCTCGACCGATGACTCGAGTTTTCAGGGACAGCCCTAATTTAATTTGGTCTGCTCAAGTGATGGCTGATATCTGATCCTCTTGATAGGTTCAGTATTACATCGATACGGATCCGGTGTATCGGATCAGTGCGTTGCTAGCTCCTGGGGCTTCTAAGTATTGTGTGGTCAAAAAAAGGCTACAGGTGTTTCTAATATAATTCTTGTATTCAGTGCTTTTCAACAACTGACTCTTAGATGTCTGGATTTCTTTGAATGCATCAGCGATGAAACATTCCTGGTCCGCAGAGAAATGATAATAAATGATTGAAATAAATCATATTTATTGTTACTGTGATTGTTAAAACTTCAATAATATAAAGCATATTTGTATTTCAAAAAAATCTAAAATTGTTGGTTAGTCGAACTAAGCAAGCAAAACTAAACAAAATAGTCTTGTCTCACATTTTGTCCCATATTTTAGGAAAAACAGGAAATAGAAATAATGCTGAATATGTGATTCAGTTACTTGTTTTTTTCCATCTTATGGCTTTATAGAGCTTTTGGCAACTCTCTAACTCGTCTTCTCTTCTTGCTCTTCTTCGTCTTTTGTTGTCACCTACCATCCCTGCGGGTGCACTCCTCCTCACTCAATCAAGTCTCTTTCCCCCCGTGCACACAGACAGCACTCTCTCCATTCTCCCTCTCTCGTTCTCCTCTCTTTCCTCACCATGCCATGAGGGTGAAATAAAGCAAATCTCCCAGCTTCTGTCATTCTCTCTTTATATCTGTCCTTACCCTTCACTCTCCTTCATTTCCCTGCTGTGGGCCCTCCTCAAACACACACATACACACACACCCCTCCTTAGTGAGGAGATGGGTGGACAGTCCCTTGCGGTGGGCTGCTGTATGGTTGACCAGGCCTGTCTCTTTTATTGCTGACAAGGAGGCACAGTCTAGCGTGCTGTTTTGGTCCACTGAAAGGGACCGGCCTAGAGGAGGATAAGGAAAGGAAAAAGGAGAAGGGAGCGAGTGAGAGGTAGAGTAGAACTGTCCGACGTTTAGGAACAGAGAGGGTTAAGGGATGGAGAGAGGAAGAGATAGAGGAGAGCAGTTGAAAGGATAAACAGGGCCGCGAGCGAAGCAGGGGGCTAAAGGGAAAGGGCATTTTCCTTTCATCTGTTCTGTAGAGGAGAGGACGATCTGTCAAGTTTATTTAGACGACTGGCACGGTTGTCACTTGTGGGTCTATATGGCGTGTTTGATGCTCATTTCAGTCAACCATGTCTCTTTTGCCCGCCACAGAGTAGGACATCAAAATAAATGTGTGTCATATGCCTGATCTGTATGTAATTCACTGCATGTATACTGTATAAATCTTTGTGTTACAGACAACTCGGCTTGGACCTGGTCCCCAGGCGAGAGTTCAGCATGGTGGACCCAGACGAAATCAGCGTCACAGAGCTTTACAGACTGGTGAGTGCTCTTTTTAACTCTCCACGCTGTATTTCATTACTTTGTTCTCAAACTGACGCCTCATTTAGGGAGCAGGGTGGTGAAAAGAAGGTGAGTTCAGCAAGTATCTGCTCTCCTGAGGTATCCTTGTATAGCAGGATGAGGGGTTGTAGGTAACGGATGGATGGACATAATACTGTATATACTCTATGCAGTGTGTAACCATAATTAAAATTGCCAGTCACAGACTTACAGCTGCCACTTGCTTCGAGCTGATCAACCGATCACAAAAGACAGTTGAACAATGTTTTACCAGTTTGTTCATTCAGTGCTTTGTCTGATCAGCCAACCTCTAAGGTGATGTGAGAAATCGTCCATCATTGACAGCACTCCTCCTCCTCAAAGCTGACAGGTGGTAGTGGTGTAAATTGGCAGACCACATCAAACCCTACCCATCCCCCCCCCACCTTTAACTGTGGAAAGTGGGCCAAGTGTCATTGTAAATGCAAAACAATCTCACTCTTAAGGCTACTTGGAGGACCTTTTCCTCTGCAGTTTGCCAAGCTGTCAAGGAACTGTAGATGTTTCTGTAGAAATTTCCACCTTCAGTGAGCGCTTTGAGGACTTATCATCTTGTTTTGGCTTAAAAGTTGGGATTTCAGTTTTATTCTTGACCTTGGAAACAGCAGTTGGCAAAACAATCTCACCACAGTCACCACCCAGTAGCTGTTTCTGAGCTTTTGATCGTATCACACAGTCTCAGCTCTTCAATGACTTCTCGTCCGTGTTTGCTTCAAAGTTTAGACTGAAACATACTCAATGGGCCACTGGCATCATGTAGGAAAATAAAGCAGAGTTGAATATCTGAATCTCTCCCTCCTCCATCTGTCTCCACGCCTCTCTCGCTCATTCTCTCCTTCCTTCCCCTACTGTTTGCTCCCTGCTTCCCCTTCCCATTTTCTCCAAGCCCCAACCGCTGTTACCGTGGCAACCACTTCTCTGCCCTGATACAGCACGGGGAGAATTGTATCACACACACAAACACGCACTCTGTGACGGCTTTCCCTTCGCAGGGGTAATTGAAGCTCTTAATCCATCTGTTTCTCTTTTTTTGTTAGTCAAAACAAAAGCAGGCATTGCAGGATGAAAGCTTAATGCACCTCTATTAAACGGCGTACAAAATTAGCAAATGATTGCAATTCCCCTATACTGAGGACAAGATAAAGGGGATGGCATTAACTGTCGCCATCCACATACATAAACACACACACACACACACTCACACCAAGACACAAAACACCATCACAACATCAAGCCCAAATTACATCAATGTTTTTCACTGAGGTCTTTGTGTTTGAGAACAGCTTCTTTGTTTCTGTCTTGTACTGTGGTGCTGTCGCTGTGGTGTGGCTTAATTAAATTGAGATGGGGATTACCTGGTGTGTTCGTGTGTGTTTCTGTGTGTGTGCTGAAATGGCACTGGGGTGTTACTGTGGGAAAATGTAGCCTGACTGCTATATTGTGTCAAGGAATTATGACATATCTGCCCAGTGAGAAATAAAGAGGATACTGAGAAGGAAATACATCCAGTGCACTGAATAAGAGAGAATTTGTGCAGGCAGAGAGACACACTCTCTCTCTCTCTCTCTCTCTCTCTCTCTCTCTCTCTCTCTCTAAATTGTGGTAATATTTAAAGCTAAATATATAAAAAAGCACATTACTATGTGTAACATAGGGATGATTTGTAGTGTCAGACGCAAAGTGAACTTCTCTCAGGATTTGAAGGTGGAGTAGACAGACCAAAGAGTTCAAATAAGGGCGAATACTTCACTGACATTTGTCAGATGGTCAAAAACAATAGTGAAGGAATGCTGCTGCTGGATGCTTCCACTGAGAGAAAAAAGTATATTTTAGACTCTCAATGGGAATTTTTTTTGTAGCTGCTAGCCCATGCAGTTGGCTAGCCAGCTTATAAATATTTCCCTCAGAATTTCATATAAAAGGTAACTGTAATGCCTCCTGCCATGCTGTGTAGCACTGCCAGTAAGGTCCATAAACCAATTGCTGTTATTTGTATGTTTATTGTAGCTGTAGGTAAGTAAAAAGGTCAATTGAAAAGCTTGGCCAATGCGATACAAAGCATGGGGGCAAGTTCTAAGGAGCCATATTCTAGGGATGTCCTTTTGTCTATGGAAATTAAGGCCTGATTTTTAGTTGACTTTTTTGACTTGACTTCTAGAAATAGACCCTTTGAAGCATATTATTTGGTAGTAGCTTTAACGTGGGGAGACCTTTATCAAATCCCTAATTGGCACCCCAGTCTCATGCTTAAGCTTGCTCAGTTAAAGCTGCCCCCTTGGAAAGTGAGTTCAATGCGGAGCACGAGCAGGGCAGACCAGAGTTTAGATCCCAGAGCAATGAATTCATTAACAGTAGCAGATGAGACAGCAGAGATGGATAGCTCAAGCCTGGCCTTGGACATGTGGTAGTTAAATTTCCTCTGTGACTTCCATAATCACATCTTTTGCTTCCTGCTTGTGTCACACAGGTCTCCCTCGTGCAAGCTTAAAATAGGGATGAAAAGAGGCTTAAATAGTGATGTAGAAGTGAGTGATGAAAGGCAGCTCTGATGGAGGGATGTAAGAAAGACTAGAAGTTTCTCCGTGGCCTCAATTTGACCCTTCTCTCCTTTTCAAAGCTCCTTGTAGTTAGACAGTCACTCCACTTGGTGCTGCTTCACGCTGTTCAGGAAAAAGATTACCGGGTGAACAATAATAAGACGGTTGGGCGAGCACACACGGTCATGCCCTCTCTGTTCAGCTATATCTCTCTCGTCCTCTTCTAGTTGCCCAGAGCATCTTGTGTTGCCAGCAGGGCTGCCAGGCTGTCATGTCTACCCTTTGTGTCTAGTCATGCTGAAGCTGTCATATAACCACACACTGCTTCGTTCGGGCAGCTTAAACGACAAACTGAAAATAACCTCGTAATAAAATCCCACAGCACAGCATAAATTAGGCCTTCCCAGACCTAGTCATTCTGTGTCGAAAACCCAGGAGCTCAGCCCTGTTATGTAGAGAATAACTGTTCTGCTATAAAACTGTGTTGGTGCCTTGTTGTTAGATCATTCTCCAGCGTGTTTTCTTCTGGGATCTCAGATAGGGCAGAGCAGTCACGACAAAACAAAACATATTCATCATTTTGACAGATATTGCAATTGTCAAATGTTTTGTGGTGTAATCTTCAAGCGCGTTTAAGTCTTAGAGGACCATGTTATGTTTTTTTTATATGTTTATATTTATAGTACAAAGCATATAATATATTTAAGACTGATTTCTTACCCTCTAGGCAGTCCCTGTTTATCTCACATTTCACTATGGCACGGAAATCAGCTTTTAGGGACTTAAACGTTCTCTGTAGCTTAGTATATTCTTGCCTTTATTTTTTGTCAAAGCAACATTGTCATCACTTGGTAATGCACTCTTGGGTGTGTTGGAAACATTGCAGCCTCAGTGCCTTGACAGTCAGCAACTGAACAGCATATTTGTAATGTAAAGACTACTTCCAAACTGTATTTTTATTCATGTTTTCAGAGAGGTAATTGCCTGTGGGACTTTATGTGTACCAAAAAAGTTGTTTTCAAAGGCAGTGCTAATTTCTAGGTTTTGTATTAAACCCAACAAGCTCCACTAAATGATTTCAATTTCACAATTTCTTCCCACAACATTGCATTTTTAAAGATACGGCAGCTCATTGCTGTAATTTAAAAAAAAAATATGCTTAAATTAGTTAGATGAGACTATTGATACCACCATGTGTGTACAGTAACTATGTAGCTGGAGTCAGCAGCTGCTTAGCTTAGCTTAGCTTAGCATAAAGATTGCAAACAAGAGGAAACAGCTAGCCTGGCCAGGAAACCGGTGGAGAAACCAGGAAGTTATTGGTCCCGGCCAAGATATAGTAAAACAGAGAATTATTGTTTTTTAAGTTTTTTTTTTGTTTGTTTTTTTGTACAGATTAAACAAATTAGATATAACAAGTTAATTATTGAGCCAGGCTAGCTGTTTCCCTCTGTTTACAGTCCTTGTGCTAAGCTAAGCTAACCAACTGCTTGCACCTGCTACATATTTAATGTGCAGATGTGAGAGTGTTATCAATCCTCTCGTATTACTCTTGGCAATAAAGTGAAATAAGCTTATTTCCATGTATTATACACAAACAATACACAAACAAGCGGGTTCCAGCATGCTTCCCTGTGCAGTACCACCCAACCATATGTAACTATGTAACAATGTTTTGTTTTTTTACATCTAATCTCCTCTGATAATATGATTTTATCCTGTGTTGGACTCTTGATACATGGTGGCGCTTTACTGCACTTATTTTTTATTCTTTTCCTTTTATTTTCTCCTCATCCTCCTCCTCCCCATCTCTTTACATCCTACTACAGAAGTAAATGTGGAGCACAGTTTGGCAGTGGCTCTACTGGCCATCTGGTGCTCTGTATGTATGTGTGTGTGAGTGTGTGGGTGTGGGTTTGTGTGTATGTGTTTGTCCTTGTATTTTGGGATGTTGACAGCAGATTAGGACAAACCTCTCATAAATAGTGCTGTAATGTCTGGATGGTATTTGCTGTGCGAGGCTTTCTTGAGCTTTTTTAATATAGATTGACTTAATATAGCATGTAACATCAGACGCTGAGGTGTGACTGTGTGCTGCATTGTTTGACTCCTGCTTTTCCTGCATTTGTAGTCACTGCTTTGGTTTCTGTTTCTCTAAGATTAAGCAACCAATTAAAAGGGATGCAAATCGCACATTATTTCTTTGTGTCAAGTAAATAATTAACATACTTAAAGATAAGTGCTTGAGGTAGTTTTGGTGCTTTTATACCTGATGGTAAACAAAAGCCCTTATATGTAAAGTACAGAAATAAATCTTGAAGCACTTTATGTATCAAGTGTTTGTTTATGTGCATATCTGTACTGTATGTAGCAATATGTGCTTCCTCTGTCCCATTTCTTTCTTTGGCACCAAGACTGCAACAAAGGAACAATCAGACAATACAGCTGGAAGTCTCACATCTTAGCCTCTGGTGCTTTCCACAGTCTGAGATATTACATGCTATATTAACTCGATCTATATCAACAAAATCTATATCTTTAGCCTGGTTTTTTGCTGTCTTCAAATATATATGCAAATCTGCAGCAAAGCTCCTCCCAGCAGTGAGGCGTCTCAGAGGCATTATTTGTCTTTGACTAGGAAACTCAAGACTAAATACAGCAGCTCTTGAATGCGATTGGCCAGTATTAAAAGAGATGTATCCACATGTTGTTTTCCCCCTGGTATTAACTGTATTTGATAAGCTTTGATCCTGCATTTTAGGATCTTTCAGGATTTAAAGCTTATGGGTTTTACTGGTTTATTTTAACCTTTCCAAATCCACCCTTTTATTCTTCATCAGAGTTGGACAATATGTATTTTTTATCAGTTCTTTTAATTTGTTTAATGTTTGCATTTTCAGATTAAGTCTTAAGAATATTTAAAATGGCATCAGGAAATCGATTTGTGCTGATAGCGTTCTCTTCTCTTCTCTGCAGATGGAACACCGGCATCGCAAGAAGGAGACCGCTGCGCCTGCTAGCACCCATCACTTGTTCGTCCACATGAAGAGCCTGATGAGCGCCAATCTGGGGGAGGAGCTAGAAGTCTTCTTCCACATTTATGATGGGCGGGAGAACCGGCCCCTCAGGTAGACACCATCATTTTAAGAAGTAAAGATGGGAAAGGTGTCGCTTTTGTGTACTAGTAACAACATTTCCTTCATTACTATACCTACGTTATACTGTTGTTGTGTGTTCATAGCAATGTAAGTAAGGTGGATTGGTGATTCCAGGATGAATGGCTCCCCTTCTGATGTCAAGAGGACTGCTCTAATTAAATTCATGAAGATTTATTAAATGAAGCAGGTTGTTAAAATGCACATAAAAGTGGGCAAGGCCATGCTATTTTCTCATATAAAAAGTGTCTGTGCTGTCCACATAAAAGAGCCCTATCACCCTGGGAGTCTCCACACGTCACTTGCATGCACGCACACCAGCGCACACACACCCGCATACTCCTGATGGGGCGTCGGCCAAAGCAAGACTGTGTTTAAACTCCCTGGTTTCATAGTTCAAAGCGAAGAAATTCCATTTCATGTCACAAACAAGTGGATTCGTCAGGCAAAGGAAAATGAGTGGGTTGAAAAATGAGCACGGCAACACTGAAACTGCTTTTGATAAGTCATGCTCGAGTTTGACGCTACTCTCCGCCCCACAGGGTCACATCAGAGGAACAAGGGTGACATTGATGGGGCTCATTTTGTTTCAGCATACAGCAACCCCACTTGTGTTTTTATTGAAATCCGATTCATTATTCACCACATTGCTGGCACAAAAGCAAACTTAGTTGACCTAAGTGTCTTTAAACCTTGCATGGAGAATCTGTGGTCTCCTCCAACATCGCATGAATAATGGCACACAAGAAAAGACGTTCTATTTTTACTTGACGCTCGGAAGGCTTTTTAGTTTTCATGATGTGGTTAATCTGAGAGAAAGATGAGTTTCTGAAAAAATAGGAACTATGTGTACACACAAGCAAACATCTATCAGTTGATCAGAAGCACTCTTGATTAGTAAGGTATATTTAGATAAGCTCTCTTGTCTCCTTTTAACTCATACATCCAATTTCTTGATGTACGGTAAAAGGTTTGGCAATAATGAAGGTTTTTCCCTGCCCGCACTTTGTCTTGAAGTGGGTAATTAGCGTCCAGTGGTATCCTATTAAGTTCCACTTGAGGCACTTTCTCTAACTGTCATTATCTGTCTCTCAGTGTCTGTCTAGCTTCCTGTCTTTCCTTATTCTACCTATCTTCACACGACTTTGAAAGATTGAGTATCATAGCCAGGAACGAGTAATTAGACTCCCTGAGGTCTGTCATGCATTTGAAGTGGTTTTACAGCTCATTCTCTGATACAGAATGTCGACTTTAGTTGTTACGCAAAGAAATCTGTCACAAATGTATACTACTAGCTTCCTAACATCTAAGTCTAAAACTAAATACAGCAAAAATATAATAAACTAATTTTTCTCCATTTATCCTGTTTTCTAAATCAGCTAATTTAAAATTTTCTAGTTTTGGGGATAAAGACAGTCAGAGGCCTTAACCATTGGGTATTAGTGGTTTTGTCTTCGAGGAAAACCAAACAATGGCAGCTCGCCAACGTTGTCTCTCACTGTCTGGTCACACGCATAAACAGAGTCACACACACACACATTTACACAAGATGCCTGGCATGGAGCCATTTTGACACTTCCCTCTGTGCTGGTGGTTTCTGTGTGTGTGTGTGTCAGAGACCAGATGGGGGTCCGACCCGTTGTCTCAATACCATGCCAACACCAGCAGCCCCTGTGCATCACGGCACCTTCTTTGTGTTCAATACAGGCTCCATGTTTGGCTTTTGAGCAGGACACACACACACACATACACAATCCTGTTGCTCTCTGTGCTCCAGATCAAACATTTATGACCTCGATGTGAAGACCCTTCATACTGCCTCACTCTGCTCTCTTGATACACACTCACACTTCCCTCCTCCTGCTAACTGTAACCTCCTCTAAACTCTAACAAGGTCATGACTGTACTCTGTGTGTGTGTGTGTGTGTGTGTGCGCATGTATTTCTGTTCATTTTGTGTGAACTCCAGAGGACCAGTGTGTGTTTTTTGTCAAAGGGGGATGGATGTAGCTAGCAGGTCCGGTCTTGTGCGTCCTCGACCTGTTCACCTCACTGTCTTGTCTAGCCATTTTTTTCGTCTTTCCACGTTGCCTCTTTTTTTCTAAGTTAGGGGTGTGGAAGGCAACAGCGGCGGTTAATTTATCCAGTATTTTACACACTCACTATCCCACACACCCCCCTTCAGCCCCCTCGTTGAGTGAGTGCATGGCTCCTAATGCAATCATCGATATCAGGAGAGGGAATAGCGAGCTCCGTGAGGGCCCAAAGGGGAGGGAAATCGGCCATTCATGTTATGTTAATGCGAGCGGTGATAGAGGGAGATAAGGTCCCACTGGGGGACACTAGTCCTCTTAGCTCGGGTGATCAACACGCTGCAGCTGTGAGGGAGAAAAGGGGGAGGCAAGGGGTGGGTGTGTAAGAGACGCGTGTGT